GAGTGACCTTCTACTACTAAACTAAAACTAAAATTGAACTAAATGAACTAAAATTGCCATGCAAACATGAACCAAGAGGCCCAACACATCGTTAAATGGAAAGCACTTAGAAGTGAAAGATTTGTTGCAGTTCTGGAACCAAATTCAAGTTTCTCTAAGATTCAGCAGAAAGCAGAAATCTATTAACTGGAACTTTTAAAAATATTTTCTTTGTTTCCCAACCTTTGATTTCCAAGGGGAGACTGATTTGAGTCTTACCTAGAATCTCCTTGCCAGGTGACCATAGAAAACTTTTTCTTTTCTCAAAAAAAACTGGTGGTGTGGTTATTGGCAATCTGTGCCAGTGGGTCATGGACCCCTGTTTATTGACTTGACTAGCACATAACTCGTAGACTAAAACAATTATTCAATAGTATTTAACTTCTTCAGGGTATTTAATAAGTCAGGGTATCTGACTTAGAATCATTGTGGTATATCAGCTGTTGTACTTCAAAACTGTGTGCTTTTCTAGCTGCTGGGTGTGGCATCAGCAGAGAGAATTTAGTGGGCTACCATTTTGGAATAGACTTAGCTATTGAGGTCCACCTTACTCAAAGTCAAGTTCTGCCTAAAGCAACCAGTATCTTATGACTGATAGTGGCAAAATATATACAGAACCCTTCCACTCAAGCCAAAGTGGGATAATTCTAATAGTCCATTTTGATACTAGAGTTCCCTCTGGAGGTAGCTGAGGCTATTGAACATGGTATACTGCACCTCATCTTCTTGCTCTCATCCCCTTGCTCTTATTTTTCCAGAGATTTATCATATTGATATTTTCTAATAAATATCTGGCACTATAAACTCTAACTCATTTAATGTTTACTTCCAAAATATCCCAAACTATAATGGGGTAAGACCCTTGCATTGGGCTTAGTCATTTTTTGAGAAAATCTTTGTAATTTAGAAAGACACCATCTGTAATTAATATCCTGTTTTATGTTGGAAGGGATTTAAAGCAACTTAATAGAGGTGTTTGGCCCTCCCTGGTGGTGCAGCGGGTTAAAGCACAGCACTGAGAATCTAAAGCCACTTCCACATGAGTTCGATTCCCGCCTGCC